TTTTAATCGTTTTACGATTATAAAATTCTAGAAAATATTTTAAACAATGGTTATCATACTATCACTGCGAGTTACAGAATATTTTACAATTCTAATGTTAATACTCCTTGTTTTGGATGTTTTCATATGGTTTTATTAACCATGGTTTACATGTTACACGAACGAATTTTCGCGTTGAAAGGGAACTATTAATAAAATTGAAAATATGGAATATTCCGTGACCCGTAGGTAAAGGGTCTTATTTTAAACAAATTTAAATATTTCAAGGTGGATTCTTTTGTGGAGAAAGCCGCCCGGTATTATGATTTAGAATTAATAAGAAAACAACATCCGATGCGGTTGGCGTTAAGTTCGCTATTAGAAGAAAAGGGAAATTTAAAGGCAAGTCTTATGGGCATGAGGAAAGGAGATCCGGGTGCAGATAATTTAGAAGTTTTTACACCAACTGATCCAAATTGGCCAAATTTAATTCGTGTCAATCCCATTTTAAACTGGTCGTATGATCAAGTGTGGAAATTTTTATTGAAACACAATGTACCTTATTGTCCACTATATGATGAGGGTTATACAAGTTTAGGAACAAAATCAAAAACAATACCGAATCCACGGTTAAAGGATCCTAATAATTCTTCATTATATTACCCAGCGTACACTTTAACTGACGAATCTGCCGAGAGACAAGGCAGAGTGTAATTATTATTAAAAACATAGAAAAAAGTAATGTAACATTTGACAGTATTTGCAAATTTTATTCAATGTGGACGTGAGTTTGAAACTTATATATTTTTTTTTTATTTAGTTTTAAAAATATTTTTAAAACTAAATAAAAAAAAAATATATAAGTTTCAAACTCACGTCCACATTGAATAAAATTTGCAAATACTGTCAAATGTTACATTACTTTTTTCTATGTTTTTAATAATAATTACACTCTATTTAAAGATTATCAAAGGATAGTTTTTAGCATAAATGTAAACCTTTATAGAATAAAGCGAAGGTAATTTGAAAAACTGTCAAATTATCAATTGATTATTTCTAAGTAAATCAAGTTGATCAAAGAAGAAATTCATTTATTTATACTTTTGTTCGTTCGTTTGTTCGCTCGCTGGTGCGTTCCATCGTGAATGTTACAATGAATCAAAACGTTGATCTTCAAGTTCAAGAAGGAGCATCCACCCTTGGTAAAATGAAAATTTCGATTGACAATCTGCGTGGCTAACACGTATGACGTTGATGATCCCCGGCTGATCCTCGTGCGAAGCCAGCAAAGCTAACGGATTAGGGTTTCGTTGATTCAAGGGGGCAGTGCGAATGGTATAAAACAGCTGGCTGATCAACCATATTAAGAGGAGGGGCTGGCAGGCGGAGTGACCGACATGTCCAACGATAGTATTCATTGGGAAGCGAGATACCTACCAGCAGGACCACCACGTTTGCTGGGATGGAATGTTCCCGCCGAAGAATTAGTTCATATACCGGAACATTGGCTGGTCTTTCCCGAGCCGAACCCCTCTCTTCATTATTTATTGGCCCTATTGTACATTCTTTTCACTTTCCTCGCTTTACTTGGCAATGGCTTGGTGATATGGATCTTTTGCGCGTAAGTTACCTTATTTTTTTTTTTATACATTCAACTTACTTCTCCAGTATTTTATTCTTTGCATTCCGATAGAGTTATTTTAGACATATCGGAATTTCATTTTATAGAAAAAGTTTGAATGAAATTATTTATCATGAAACTAATGATAATTGTTTGTTATTCTTTTGATACAAGTGCCAAGTCACTGAGGACCCCGTCAAATATGTTTGTCGTGAATCTGGCTATTTGCGATTTCTTTATGATGATCAAGACACCTATCTTCATATACAATTCCTTTAACACCGGTTTCGCTCTGGGGCACTTAGGATGTCAAATATTCGCGGTCATCGGCTCCTTGAGTGGAATTGCTGCTGCGATAACAAACGCCGCTATAGCGTATGATAGATATAGGTATGGAACTCGCATTTATTTTTATAGAAGAATAAAGTTTAACGAATAAGTGTATTGAAACTAAACTTTCATGCTAATTGCGTAATTTATAATGTTGAAAAAAGTAGTAGTGCAAAAAATAAACAATTTTAAAACCATCTCTTGGTACATCTTGCTAAGAGTTCTCGCAAGATAAAAGAAGAGAAAAAAAATGTTAATATTTCTAGATACTATTTTTCAACTTACTACTTGCGAATAAATCAATTTTTACAGTTTATCTACTTTAAATATAGCTAGCGCGATATACTTGGAAGGTACTTGAAATTATAGGAAAACTTTGTTCAACTGCTTTTAAGTTTTTAAGTGAATTTCATTCGAGTCTTTCATTCAATGTATATCTTATTTTAGCACAATAGCAAGACCGTTGGATGGCAAGTTATCACGCGGCCAAGTAATCCTGTTCATTGTGTTAATCTGGACATACACTATACCGTGGGCATTGATGCCCGTAATGGGAGTTTGGGGACGTTTCGTGCCCGAAGGCTTCCTTACTAGCTGTAGCTTCGATTATCTGACTGACAGCAACGAGATACGAACCTTCGTTGCTACCATATTTACCTTCTCCTACGCTATTCCGATGACACTTATAATCTATTACTACAGCCAGATCGTCAGCCATGTGGTGAATCACGAGAAAGCGCTTCGCGAACAGGCGAAGAAAATGAACGTTGACAGTTTACGAAGTAATGCGAACACTAGTTCTCAGAGCGCTGAAATTCGCATAGCAAAGGTATTTTAAACACTATTATTACTTTTTTTTATTTATTTTGTAACTATACTTAAGTTAACTGTATTTAATAGTTAGTATTAACCGAGAATATCGACGTTATGTAATATATATAATAATATAATCGATATTATTTCAGTCTGAAATCTAAGGAATTAAAATGGTGTCCATACTTGTTATCACCTGCTTCGAAGTGTTTTCTGTTTTCTTTTTTTTTCTCTTTCAATACTTCTTTTACGTGGATTTGTATTTTATATATGATTGATGGTTGTGGGTATTTGATAAAATATTTTTACATTTAAAATGAGATATATTATCTTAAGGGGAACTTCTGTAATAGATTGTTTAGTAATAAGTGTTAATTCAGCTGTCTTATAGCAGTTAAAGCCATAACTGTTGTCCGTTTAACTCGTGCTAATTACACTTGCTTGAAATCCACTGCTGGCCGTTTAATTTGCGTGTTTGTTCGAAGGCTGCCATTACGATTTGCTTCCTGTTCGTTCTTTCGTGGACTCCGTACGGTGTGTTGGCAATGATCGGCGCATTTGGCAATAAACAGCTCCTAACACCTGGCGTTACGATGATACCAGCATGCACATGTAAAGCTGTTGCTTGTTTGGATCCATATGTATATGCTATAAGTCATCCTAAATACAGGTGAATTTACGTTGAAAATTGTAAAAAGGAGTTAGTGTTCGTTTAAAAGTTTCAAACTTGTTAAGTTATTTTATGATTATTCGTATATTTCTTTCGAACGAGTATAGAATTCATTTAACGAAAACTTCTTTTATTTCCTTTTATTTAACGTTGTTTCATGGCTTCTAATTCTCATTGATGAAATATTGTACTTTGGTATTATTAGTTCGTATAAGGACATATTTTTTTTTAAATTAATTACTAAAGTAAAATAAAATATATTTATTATTGTTCGTAATAGGTTGGAACTGCAGAAGCGACTACCGTGGCTAGAATTACAAGAAAAACCGATATCCGATTCGACAAGCACCACAACTGAAACAGTGAATGCACCACCGGCCTCGAGTTAGACCTCAACAGAAATTGCTATTTTTCGAGAACAAGAAATAGGAATTTATTTGGCTCTCGTTCGGTACTTTGTATCCACTCCGTTAAAAATAGGCGGTCCTTGTATAGCGAAAGCAACTACAATAAAATAATTTCCTGGCATACGTACCTTCATAATTTTCTTATATATACATATGTATATGTATTATGTATAAACTCTCACAATGAACAAAAATTGGCAAGTTAAAACTTTATTCATATTTTACAATAATACTTGCCTTATAACTACGATTCTAGGCCTTAAAGGTTTGAAAATAAAATAACAAAGTGTGTGATTAATCGACTAAACTTGATTAACTCACGCTCGTAACAGATTGATCTTATCATAAAGAATCTTTTATATAACTGTATTTTACGTAATCGAGAATTGACTGTATGTGTTGAACAATTAGTATTTTTTGTTCTTTTCGTTTTGTTCAAATAGACACCGTAACGCATTATCGACCGGTGTTGTTTAAAGTCGCACAGTTCAATAACAAATAACATCCTGTGAAGTTGTTAAAGCTTAAGATTGTTGAAGTTTCCTTTACAGAATTTCTAATTGTGTTTATTCATTCCCTTTTTGTCGTGGTTTATTCTTCTTTCTTTTTTTCTTCGCTCTGACCTTTTAACTACGTTACAAAACGTAATTTTGTTCTCGTTACATGAAAAACAGACGGCTTGCAAGCGATAGTTTTTGTATAAAGTACCCTGTCAATAATGCGTTAATTTGTCAAGTAACAATTTTAAAGGCGTAGGCGAAAAATGTTATCCAATTACAGCAAGGATGGTAAATTTTCGCGTTTCTGGCGTAAATGTACTATTAAGTAGATTACTTGATAAAAAAAAAGTTCAACAAAATGTTATTTTACATCATTTAGAGTTTTATATACCTTACATCAATTACGTCAAAGCGTTACGCCTTATTTTCTTCAGACTTATTACTTGGTAAAGTAAACGAACGTTTAACATGAAGTATCGAAAAGTTCGAGACATGATATTAGCGTGAAGAAATGTAACTTTTTTTCGGTACTGTTTCTGCATTCGAGGTTCATAGATTGTGCCGACCATTCGGATTTCTTTAATACTATCTTTGTAATCTGGTTAACTGACTCAATGCCACACGCGTTCACGATGTGGCCATCTTTTTTTGTACTATGTCGATGCTAATTGTTCTAAGATATAATTACAACGATAAATCAATAAATCACATTCTGTACATCTTTTTCTAGGAACTTTCTACTTCCAACTATATTAGCACAGAAGACATTCATTTGCTCAGAAACTCCAAGCGATTACGAGGTATCGAGATCTAACTTCGAATAACAACAAATACGAAAAAAAGAAGAACAGCGATTCGTAGGAAGAATGAAAACTTTTTTACGAATCTCCCGCAAGTAACAATACGTAAATATAACGGGGTAACAATATAAAAACAGTTGACATATGCTATGTATATCCAATGTATTAGAAATCGATCGTGATCAATGTTCGTATTATTGTATTAACAAAATGTTACGTTGCGATTGCGAAATGTTATAGGAATATTCAGATAGCTTTTCATCCAGATTGTTTTGTATTTTGTGAAGTTTTATCAACGCACCTTCTTGTGTACACGTCGAAAACAATTACAAATATCGTATATTCAAAAGTATTCAGGTCGTGAACTCCGAATCACCAGTATAACAATGTGCTCCCCAAAAAGACCCACGGTCTTCCGGGGAATATTAACCATTCTTTGTCTTTGTTAATTTTTAATTGTACAATTT